TGTGGGCGTGTCTTGATGGTCATGTGACAATTCTTTAGGATTTAGCAGAGGTACTGGTCTACCAGGCTTTTAACTGTTTGCAGAGCTGTACCGGTCTGCCCATAAAAGGAGCTTTGAACATAAACACTCTTCTTCTTTTCCTCAAAGGTCTCAAGATGGAGAGAGAAATGGGTGGCATATGTATGGCACTCCCTACCCAATTTCCTCCTACTCTGTCATTTTGTCCCAATCACTGGCAAAATCTGAAAGAAAGAAGAAACTTGCCTGGGTGTATATCTGATGCTGATACAGGAAAAACATTCTGATGCCACAAGACCTCTCTAACTGTGCTCATGTGTTATAAAAACAAGTGTCGGAACCTGAGATGGTGGGATGGGTGAAGATAAGAGAGGAAGGGGTTGGATCTTGCGTTCCTGCTATTCCCTCTTCCTTATTTTGATTACTCATGTGTTCTTGCTAGGTTGCAGTATAAAGCTGAGGGTCAAATATGGTTAGTGTATGGTTGGGAAACTACCAGGAAATCACAACATTGGAGCTTCCTGGAAGAAGGCAATGGGAAACTATTTCAACATTGTTGTCAAGAAAACTACAGGGATAGGACCATAAAATTAGCAGAAGTAAAACTCGAGACCGCTTTTCACAGTCTGCAGAAGTCATAGTCCAACGTTTGCAAAGGAAATATAAGAACACATTAATAACTCACTGATTGGATGAATTAAAGCAACTATCACTTGGCATGCATGAACAATGAAGTACTGCACAGAATGTACAATTTATGTGCTGCAGTTTTTCCATTCTATATAGTATCATTAAATCAAGTGAAATGTGCAGAGACCATCAATAGAAGTGATATTAAAATTAAATGCTGCTGTTGTTTTTAACCATTTGGTTGTGTCCAACTCTTGGTGACTTTCTAGACAAGTGCTCTCCATGCTATCCTGTCAAGCACAGCTTCTTTTAACTGGTGTATGTTCAACTTTGCATCAGATTTGATGTTATCAAGCCAGTTCTTCTTCTTCTTTGTTCACTAATCATTCCTAGCATCACTGCCTTTTCCAATGAATTTGCATGCACAACATGACCAAAATAAGTGGCTCAGTGGCTAAGACACTGAGCTTGTCGATCAGAAAGGTCAGCAGTTCGACGGTTTGAATCCCTAGTACAGCTCTCCTGCGTGAGCAGGGGGTTCGACTAGATGACCTCCAAGGGCCCTTCCAACTCAGTGACTGTAACTGTACGGTTTGATCTTAAGATTTTAGCTTCCAGTGATGGGTCTGGATTTGTACGATTTAACACCTCTCTGTTAGTTATTCTCGCTGCTCATGTTATACGCAGTAACTTACGGCAACACCACAATTCAAAAGTGTCAATTCTTCAGTCAGCCATTCTTAGTGTCCAACTCAAATATTAAATAGTACAATGGGAAGGTGGGGGAGGAGTGGAGATATCCAGAAGATTTAAAGTGACAGAAATTCTTTAGATGAAAATTACTGCATGGCTTGGTTACGTTAATTAAACTGGATTAATACTGAATTATCGTGGAAAAAGCTTTGAACAAAGTGTCAGCAATTATTCCAATTATAATACAATGCTAATGTATTTCACCTCTGTCTAGCATCTGATGCTTATGAGAATATACTTATAATTGTCAGGGTGGTCACTTCCTTACTACTGATTTATAGCATAAGGTCCTCTAGCTTGTTTTTAGTACTGTTATATCACCCCAGCATTGGGCAAATAATACCAACAAGCCAGTGGTGGGATTCAACCAGTGTAACAACTGGTTTGCTGAGCGTGCGCTCTGCGCATGTGCAGTGTGTTTGAAAACAGCTCTGAAACTTACCTTCTACTGCAGCCCCAGTGAGTAAAACAGCTGAGGCACGGCAATCCGCTCTGCCATGCTTATCAGCTGGGTTTCAAACAAAGGAAATATAGGTCAGTATAGTGCAGGGGTGGGCAGGCGGGCCGAGCTGATTGTCGGAGTGAACCGGTTTGCTCTCAGCTGATTGTTGGAGCTACCGGTTCACCCGAACTGGTCCGAGATGGTTGAATCCCACCCCTGCATCAAGCATTATAAATCATTATTGTAGAAAGAGCTTGTGAAAGCATAGTCAGATCATTCCAGGATCACTCCACTTCTCCAGTCATGGATATCTGTAATTCTGCGATTACTCTGTGACAGGAAAGGACAATCTTTTAATGACCAAGATCAGGACTCAACATTTTGTAGGAAGCCAATATGGATGGTGCTGTATCTCACATGTGTGTGGAGCTAATGTAAGGAGATGTTTGGGAGGTTGTTTTGTTTTTAACTGTGTTAGGCTGGTGGTAGAACTCGTACTCAAATCTTATCTGTTCCCATTTAAAAATAGCAGGAAGCTATTTCAGATCAGTTAAATGAGTTGGATTCCATACAATCTAGAAGACAAAGATTGTCCAGACTTCTCTGGAATTGTGATTTCTATCCAATGGAGAGAACAAATGTCAACATTCCTTTTTTGCCATACAGGTCCTGTATTATGAGGAAAGGACTAAAATATATTTTAAGGATATGGGCATGGAGCAATCTTGTTTACCATGTCATTTGTGTAAATTGGGTTAACAATCCATGATCTTGCTGGAACTTCTGACTCACTTTCAAGTCATAGATTTTCATCATAAAAACAAAACCCAGAATTTCGTGTGATGGATTCTTTGATAAATAAATGAGAGAACTATATATGAAAGTTCAGCTCCCTTTCATTTATTGATCATGGATCCTTCAAGTAACATAGCTATTTTTTGTAAATATGCTGTGAGCATCATACATTCTTTTAGTCATGGATGTACATGAACATATCATTCTTTAAGTTGGCCTATCATAAATTGAGTGGATGGTACTGATGCAAATAGCAAATCTGTGAATTGGATTAAAGGTATTAAAGTTTGGAAATTCAGTCTCCGGCCATTTCCCTCTAGACTGAGGCTTTCAAATTACTTACATGTCTCCAAAATGTTATGCAACAGTTTTCTATCAGGAGAAGGAGACTGAGAATTATAGACTTACTGATTGAATTCAGACAACTTGCTAAATTGGCTGTCCAATCTCTTCTTTAAAACTTAACTTTAAAACTTAAGAATAGTAAATGTCCTCTGTTGAGAACTGAGGCATTTTCCATAATCTGTTTGGTGTAGGTACTTTAAACAGCATCTCCATCTTTCTGAACATTTTTCATCTTGTTTTTTCTGATGCACTGATCTCTGATGAAATGATTATTTCTGGTTATTTCCTTGATGTCACTATTAAATTTCAACATATAAGGATGTCAGTTGTCCCTTGAGTTAGATAAGGAGGAGCAGTAGTGGTGAATGTCATCAGCGTACTGATGTCACTCCACTCCAAAATCTGATTTATTTCTTGCTGTAATTTCATATAGGTGGTGACCCATGCAAGATAATTTAGGACCCTGTCAGACAAGAGATCTCCATTTCTAGATGTTAAAATGTAGTTTCCTTATCATTACCTAATCAAGGAGAGAGAAGCAACCTGGAATTAAGGAGAAACTTCCTAACAGTGAGGACAATTAACCAATGGAACAGCTTGCCTCCAGAAATTGTGAGTGCTTCATAGTTGGAAGACCTCCAAAGTCCCTTCCAGCTTTATTCTGATTGATTGATTATGTTAACTGGACAGTGGACATGGCCTTAAAAGGAAGGGCCCAAACTATTGCTAAATGAAGGCTTAATTTGCCAAAGTCAGGGTCAATGAAAAAGATCTAGCTGGATTGTACTATTTCCTAGCCAGTCTCTAGATTGGATATAAATCAATGTGTAACTAAAATAGTTATATATTGTATCTCAGCTGAAACCTGAACTGAAATGGGGTCAGATATTCAATATCATCCAGATATCTCTGAAATTGCAAGAAACAAAATGTAATCTGCCTACAAAATGGATTTCCCAGATCAAGGGATGGATTTCCCCATCCGAAGTCCTATAAATACTAGGGTGGAATGCATCTTACCTACAAAGAGACATTCTTCACTTCCCTTAAGTGCTCTTCCAGCTGATCCAATCATCTATGAAAGGTGAAGATCCAATAAGCAGGCAGTAGTCTCCATACTATTCTCCAGATTTACAAAGTGAAAAGAATTCAAAGCAACGGAACAAGCCCTTGTTGAGATTAAGTAAAGGTAAAGGTTCCCCACGCACATATGTACTAGTCATTCCCGACTCTAGAGGGTGGTGCTCATCTCCGTTTCAAAGCCGAAGAGCCAGCACTGTCCGAAGATGTCTCCATGGTCATGTGGCCGGTGCACAGATTGCTGTTACCTTCCCACCAAAGGTGGTCCCTATTTTTCTACTTGCATTTTTCACATGCTTTCGAACTGCTAGGTTGGCAGAAGCTGGGACAAGTAACGGGAGTTCAACACGTTACACGGCACTAGGGATTCGAACCGCTGAACTGCCCACCTTTTGATCGACAAGCTCAGCATCTTAGCCAATGAGCCACCGCGTCCCTCATGTTGACATTATAGAATCCAGATTAAAGCAGCCTTTTTCTTCAAAAAGCTGTGCAATTTGCTCATAGCAAGCCATCAGCGGCTCCGATTCCTGTTCATGTGGATATGCCACATTCTTGCAATCCTATATTCCTTAGTAACTCCCATTAAACCGCTTGAGCCTTCCTTCTTCATAAACACACTTAAGATCACACTGTTGTTTTTTTGTTGTTGTTGTTGTCCAAGGAACCAAAAAAAATACATAACTGGCTATAAGCCTCAGGGTCTTCTGTTGTTTGCTACTGTTGTTGTTTAAAAAAAAAAAGATCCTACAAATCCTGCAGGCACTATTAATGGTGGAAAGCATACTTGCAACAGAGCAAACTAGAATTGCCCTGGAGGCCAGGAAGGAAAAAAAAATAATAACTGAGTAAAGCTACTGAGTGTCCAAAGCTCCACCCTATCCATGTGGCTGTATCTAATGTTTACCCACTCTGAATATTGCTCAAGGCAAACCAAGGTACCTGTTGGGAGAGACTTTTAAACCCTGCAGCACCTGTGGCTGAACAGCTCCAGAAGGGATCCGCAGCACAACACAGCCAGCCTTCGTTCTGCAAACACAGGCAAGGTACAATTTGTTTGCATATATGTATGTTAGTTAATGTTAAAAATATCTACCAGTGTTTAAATAGCATTTATTAGCATCCTGGCCAGTTTATCAAAGATGTACATTTTAATCTTACTTTTCAGCTCATAACCAAAACATAAAAACTACACACTGCATCTCGTTTGGCTTGTTTTCCTCCTTTTTTTTCTCCCTTCCTTTTTTACTGCCTTGTGCAGTGGGGGAAGAGTGTTTCTCGGAGATTTTGGCAGCTTCCTACACAGCAGACTTACCCAGACGCCTAGCATATCTGGTATTCCTTCTTACCCAATGCTTACAACGTGGAGCCCATTCATGGAGGCAATAGCTGGAGAAATGAGACTGCGTAGTGCACCGAGCTGGAAAAATCAGGGTTCCTCTAGCCAGCTTCCTGTTTACAATCCTCTCTGGGAAGCAGCAGATGAAATTCAGAACTGGAGAGAACCCAGTTCACAACTCTGCCTCCGAAAAAGAAGACCATTCTGGCAAACAAAAGTAATGGGGCATTTTATGAGAACATAAATGTACTGTTGGACTATGCTGCTTTGGAGCCCACTGGAAGTGGTTGGATAATATTTAAAAGTAATTTGTTGTAGGGGTATTTTGTTTTGCTTTTTAGAGTTTTGCTTACTTACAGATAAAATGCACAAGAGTGCGATAACAAGCCTTTTTTTTTTTTTTTTGAAAGCCAGCTTGATGTAGCGGGTAAAGCCCCAAGCTAGAAAGCAGTACGCTGTGAGTTCTAGTTCCACCTTAAGGATAAAACCGGCTGGGTGACCATGGGCCACTTGTTCCTCTCTCTCAGGCCTAGGAAGAAAGCAAGGGAAAAAGTGTGTGAAAACCTTGCCAAGAAAAGTGCAGGGACTAATCCAGGCAGTCAGCAAGAGTCAACACTGTCTGGAAGGCACACATACATACCCTGTTTCCAGGGGTGGGTTCTACTTACCTTTACTACCGGTTTGCAACGGGGTCGCGCGCGCATGTGCAGAAGTGTTCTGATGACGTCGGGGTCGGTGGGCGGAGCCTCCCGCCAGTTTTACTACCGGTTCTATAGAACCGGTACGAACCGGGGGCAACCCACCACTGCCTGTTTCCCCAAAAATAAGACCCAACCAGAAAATAAACCCTAGAATGGTTTTTTCAGAATGCTTGTAAAATAAACCCTACCCCCAAAATAAGCCCCAGTTAAGCTTGTCAGCAGATGGAGGAGTTTAGTACTGTATCTTCCCCAAAATAAGACCTAACCAGAAAATAAGCCATAATGTGACTTTTGGAGCAAATTAATATAAGACCCAGTCTTATTTTGGGGAAAACACAGTACATACAAGCCCTTGTCATTTCAAGATGTAAACAGCAGCAAAAAAACTAAGATCAGGAGAAGCCTGTTCCTTTCCATATTTTCTCCTTACTTCTGAAGGTGTTTCCCTAGTGACAGACAGGCCTCTCTCAGTCACCATCTCCATTTTCCTTTAAAGCTGCTCACAAATAACAGGTTATGTTCATCTTTGAGTTATACTTCATAACTCAGAATTTCTCATCTTCTAATAAGCCAACTTAGGGTTGCCAGGTCTGCTTCCAAAAAATAGCGGACAAGCGGGGGAGGGGGGTTAAGTAGTAAAAAAATAAAAATAAAATTACAATTAAATTATATATTTTCTTACAAACAATTTACAGTAGGCCGTCGTATTTGTTCTGTCGGTTTCGTTGTTGGTAATCCATGCAAAGTTAGCTTCCCAGTCTTTGGTGTATTTGCACACTCCTCTCTTTCGTTTTAAAGAATTCGAAATCTCGCCGCTGTCACTCTCATCACTCGACGCCATTTTAGGTCAGTCGACACAAGCTACAATACATTTTAAAAATGTGAACTGTACATAATTTTATAATATATTTTTATTTTAATCTCATCATTAATTTTTTCGGAGAATCGAGTTCAATGGATATTCGATCTTTGTCTCATTCTAACTTATGAAAAAAAAGACAAAACGCGATTCTCCTATCCTTATTCTCTTAGACTGTACAGCTTTAGATTACGTACCATTTCATCATAAAGCTTTTGAATAAAAAAAATGTCCACTATTTTGTAAAAAAAAAAATAGTGAACATAATGTGAAAAAAGCGGACTGTCCGCTCAAATAGTGGACACCTGGCAACCTACAATGCATGGACTTTCTACTTAGCCACAACCTATAATGTTACTGATAGTAAAAATAGTTGATCCTTGCTAAATTAAACACAACTTATAACAATATGATAATAGACAAGGGGAAGCTGTGCTGTTTCTATTTAATTTCTAGCAACACTTTAGCTCAGGGGGTGTTCAACCTTGACAACTTTAAGACTTATTGATTTTAACTCCCAGAATTCCCTAACCAGGATGGCTGGCTGAGGTATTCTGGGAATTGAAGTCCACAAGTCTTAAAGTAGCTAAGGTTGGACATCCTGCTTTTGCTGAAATAAGGCGCCATCTTCCTTTTTTTGTAAAGGTGTTAGTTGTTGGTTTGTGTAAAAAGTAAATGCTCCTTTAAGAGATGCTAAACTCCTGGAAATTTCAATGTTGTTTTTTGGGGCAGCAATACAGTTTGGTTACACACAAATACACACACACACACACACACACACACACATATTTTGGTTTTATTGATTTCTCAGTCCAGCCTACAACTTGGAGATTTTCTGATGATGTGCCATCCATACCAAAGATTTCTGATTCTAGACAGGGAGGTCAGAAGACATCCTGGAAGAACCAATGACACATCTGTTCTATCTGCAGCCAAGAAAATTATGTTGATGTGTCTGTGAAATCATCTGAAATTAACTTTAACCTGAGAGAAACCTGTCTTCTTTATAGAAAAATATAAAGGGAAAATGGTTATGGAGGAATTCAATGCTCAGAAATACAAAACACAAACAATTTCAGAAAGAAAGGGAAACAAGAATGTTCGGTTTTTGCAGGTTGCAGGATTTAAGAATTTTGCAAGAGTCCTTTGATAATGTCTGTTAGGTCTGGTGATATATGCCAACAAGCAAGCGGTGGTTTTAATTTTCACCACTGCTCTGGGGCAATGTCTTTTGGTGACTCCTTTCATGTACAGTAGTGGCCAAAATTGTGGAAACCTTTTGGGAAAAGTGTATTTTTGAGGTTTGAAGGTTAATAACACCACTTTTTTTTTTTTTTTTTGAGTTTCAAGACAATCATATTCCACTGCTGGAATGGCCGGGGAATAGCCCAGACCTTAACCCAATTGAAAATCTATGGAGCTGACTAAAGAAACTTGTTAGTCAGAAGCGACCCAGCAATAAAACCCAGTTAATAGAAGCAATCATTCAATCTTGGTTTCACATTATAACAGTTGCAGAACTAAAAGACTTGGTTCACTCCATGGGAAGAGGTTGTGAGGCCGTAATTCATGCTAAAGATTACCCAACTAAGTATTAACTGACATGATTATAATTTTTGTATAGCTCATTTTTTTATGGTGATTATTTTTGTATATCTCTTTTTTCTATGGTGATAATTTTTGTATATCTCATTTTTTCTACATGTTTCACTTTTCTTCTTTATACTGTAACTGCTATTTTGACTGAGGAGTGGACAGATGGAGAAGGAGTGTTTTATTCCAACCATTTGCTATTCCAGATTTCTGCAAACTCAGATTTCTCTTCCTGAAGTCTCAGGTGTCTGTAGGACAATCATGTGTGAATTAGTCTTGTGAGGTGCATGAAAAAGTTGGAGGCTTGTTTCGGAGGCTAAGAGAGAGAGAGAGGTTATAAGGTCTTGAAATGCAGAGTATGCTGTGCTGTAAACTTGTTTGAATTGTTCTTGGGTGGTTCTTATTTACTCTCCAAATGACTAATACCAAGCCCTTCCCTTTGCTGCCTATTTTGACAAAGCAGACTAATGATTTCATGTGAATGGGGATAGATCCAAAGACATTGCTTTCCCAATAGCTGGTCTCCACTGTCACTCTCATGCTCTCATCACTCATAAGAGATCTCCCTTAGATCTCCAAGATCAGAGCATATGACATTATTAAAAGCCATTGCCAATCTTCTTGCTTGTTCCGTGAGTATGCCAATGGCATCCGCTAAAAAGCGACTTAGTTGGCTGCCTAACCGGATATTTACTTAGCAGGCAATCACACCCAACATATTTTTTTTCCTTCTTGCTCTTTGTCATAGCTAAACTTGGACAGGCATCAATGATTTCTAGTTTCAGACTTATGTTCCAGCCCTTATGGCTCGAATTTAGTGACATCTTGCTCCTTAAAATACAAACAATAAAGAGATACCATAAGGACTAACAGATTTATTGTGGCATAAAATAATGAAGCTGCTGTAGGCTGAAGAAACCAAAGCCATCATAAATATGTTAGGCTTCATGGTACCAAACTTCCCTTTGAGATTTCTGTGGCGATACTTCCCAGTCTGAGTTAATATGTCTATGGAGCCCCTGTCATTTTTTTTTTATTGTTATGGTTGTTTTTAATCCAGTTCACTCAGGCGTGGGCTTCAAAAATTTTAGCAAGGGGTTCTCTGTCTGGTTGCTGGGTGGGTGTGGCCATGGTGGGTGTGGCCTATTTGGCCTCTTGCACCACGGCGGGGGGTGGTGTGGTGTTTTTGCCCTCCCCGGGCTCCGGAGGCTTTCCTCGAGCCTCCAGGAGAGCAAAAATGGCCTCCCCAGGCTCCAGAGGCCCCATTTCCGGCCTTCTTGAACTTCTGGTAGGCCTGTTTTTCACCCTCCCCAAGTCTCCGTGCTCGCCCTGCACTTACCTGCATCCAAAACAGGCCGCATGGGGACTCCTGGGAGGGGCGGGGTGAGCAGGGCCAGCCAGGAGTGGGATTTGGGGGTTCTCCAAACCCCACAGAATCTTAGTTAGAGGTTCTCCCAAACCCCTGCGAACCCCCAGCAGCCCACCCCTGAGTTCGTTACATTTTCTTTCACGTCCTTACATGTTTTGATTGTATATTTGAACATTGAAGCTGGCCAGAGGTTTTGGAATGGGCAGTCATAATAAATTTAAATAGTGATCATGCAAATGGTGATTCCTGCAACCATCATTATTATATATTAATTGCCGAGTGCCTGAATTTTGATTATGTGTCCATGAAGATGCTGTGATCGTCTTAACTGCGAGAACCAGTTGTCTCATTTTTCAGTGCTGTTGCACAGTCTCTAAACAAAGGGTTGTAAGTCAAGGGATGACTTACAGGTAGCTCTTGACAAAATAAGACTTAGAATGGGAAATCTGTTGCTTTCCAGATGTTACAGATGTTATGAGCCACGGTGGCACAGAGGTCAGAGTGCAGTATTACAGGCTACATCTGCTAACTGCCGGCTGCCTGCAATTTGGCAGTTCAAATCTCACCAGGCTCAAGGTTGACTCAGCCTTCCATCCTTCTGAGGTGGGTAAAATGAGGACCCAGATTGTTGGGGGCAATAGGCCGACTCTGTAAAGCCGCTTAGAGAGGGCTGTAAAGCACTGTGAAACAGTATATAAGTCTAAGTGCTATTGCTATTACACCTGGCAGCATCCTTTGCTACTGGCAATGCTGATTGGTGCTCCTACAAGCTGAGGTTTAGCAACCTTTTTTGCCCATCTGTGATTTTTGGCTGAACTATATTCATTCATCTGTACTTAATTGTTTCATTTGTCTCCCAGTGCAGTCACTGTTATGGGAAATACACAGTTCACTCCAAAAGACCCTGAAGACCAAGAACCTGCTACTAAAGCAACGTATTCACAGGTAAATTTTAGAGTAAACATTTTTGCATATTAGCCTTACCAATGTGCTGTTCTCTAGGTTGTTGTGGAGCTCAACCCAGAATTCCCAGCAGACTTAGCCTTTGATTTCCAGTATTTCTCCAAAGTACTTGGATAAGTTTGGCTCATACAGTATTAAAATAGTATTAAAATATGCACAGTACTCTACATATTTTGACATACAAATAACATGGATCTAACCCAGTGGTGGATTTCTCCCGATTTGGTTCGGTTCCACCGAGCTGGTAACGGTGACGATATGACATCACTGAACCGGTTCTGCCCACGCCCCCACCCCCCCACCCCTGCATTATTCTTACCTTTTATTTGACCCCACCCCCAATCTATTGCTGCCTCCTGAGTCCCAGCTATTGGCTAGAAGGAAAAAAAACTGTTTAAACTCTTGCCTTGGGGCTTCAAAGGGCCCCGCTACAGCTGATCAGCGTTAAAAGAAAACAAATGAGTAGACCTGTGCCTGCAAAAATAAATGGGTAGGCCAGTGCCTGCAAAAATAAATGAGTAGACCAGTGCCTCCAAAAACAAATGAGTAGACCGGTACAGCTCTGCAAGCAGTTAAAAGCCTGGTAGACCAGTACCTCTGCTAAATCCTAAATAATTGTCACATGATCATCAAGCCACACCCACAAAATAAGCCACGCCCACAGAACCAGTAGTAAAAAAATTTAGAACCCACCCCTGATCTAACCCAGTGGTGAGGTCCAAATTTTTTTACTACCAGTTCTGTGGGCGTGGCTTGGTGGGCTTGGTGTGGCTTGGAGGGTGTGGCTTGGTGGGTGTGGCAGGGGAAGGATACTGCAAAATCTCCATTTCCACCCCACTCCATGGGAAGGATACTGCAAAATCCCCATTCCCTCCCCACTCTGGGGCAGCCCAGAGGTGGTATTTGCCGGTTCTCCAGACTGCTCAAAATTTCCATTACCGGTTCTCCAGAACCTGTCAGAACCTCCTGGATTTCACCCCTGATCTAACCCTTCTATACCATAGCATGTACCTTTGGTGCTTTTATTGGCAGTTAATTGGCCTTCATATTTGTCTAATACATTAATATCTTTCACTCTTTCACACATTTCCCTGCATCTGATAAGATTTGCTTTTATATGTTCGTATGGTTTTATATGTTTCCTAGCTCAACAACTGGTTTGGAACCTTCAAAGTAGTATATGTTATAAAAACTACAGGTTCATCCAAATTGTTTTTTTTAAGTTGAAAATTCAAAACGGTGACCTTCAGTGCCATTCTTTTCAAGCTGTCGTAGCAGATTGTAGTGCATTATTGCCTGGGAAAAAAGTTTTAGACTGATAAGTGGACTGCTTTTCTGGAGCTCACTCTATGTGAGATAGACAATATTCAAAAAAGGAGAATAAAAGGTGGAGCATGCAGGTTAGAGTGGATTCATTCATTTTTCCTGAAGTACCCTGTTTCCCCAAAAATAAGACATACCCTGATAATAAGCCCAATCAGGCTTTTGAGTGCATGTGCTAAAATAAGCCTCCCCCCTGAAAATAAGCCCTCCCTGAAAATATTTAAACACAGCGCTGGAAATCAGGTAAGACGGCAAGAGGAACTCCATCTTGCTTCATGCACCCCAAAATAATAAGACCTCTCTGAAAATAAGGCCAAGCACTTATTTTGGGGTTCAAAAAAAATATAAGACAAGGTCTTATTTTCGGGGAAACACGGTAGTCCCACAGAGACTCCATTATATGTAAACATGGGCCAATTTCGCTTCATCAAAACATTTTGAAGGTTTGCTTTCAAACACTATATCTATAATCTATCAATCAATCGATCGATCGATCGATTGATCATCAGCTAGATATAGAATTGATCAATCATCTATCACCTACCTATCATCTATCTGTCTGTTGTCTGTCTGTCTATCATTCCATGCAGTCCTATTTTAACACAAAATCATTTTGATATTTCTGATTTACAAGGGGGATATTTTGCAAAAAAAAAAATCTACATAGGAAAATAAAAGAATGTGAGATTAATGATGCATTCCTATACAAATCCAATCAGAAGTCAATCAAGATGATTTGTCTGGATTTACTGCCAAGCAAGTATGCTAAAAACACATAGTTTTGGAGAAATGAATCTAGAGAAGCGATCATTTCACAAAACTACAGTATTTTGCCTCCAATCAATTAAATCTGTTTTACTCATTTTTTTTATCAGATCACAATTTTTTCCCCCAGACCTGGTTCAAACTAAATTTCTGTTGATTGCTATGGAACATAAAACACAACAAACATTCAGGACAAATTAGTAGTTCTGATGACCAAACTTCAATCTTGTGCTGCAGGTTTCCTCTGAACCTCCTGACAGCCTTAAGAATGGACCTGTTATCATCCAACCGGTACAGACGGAGCTTTCTGCAAACAGTGACACAGGTATGTTCTGGGTAGGAAGCTTAGCATACCCATGTTCTTATATAAATGGGACCAGACTCTGTGGGAACTGAAAAGACAAACAGTCAAATGGCATTACTTCATTGGATGAGTAGGAGATAGAGAAAGGCAGAGTGCATCATACAATCAAGCAGAGGTGGGTTTCAGCAAGTTCTGACCAGTTCTGGAGAACCGGTAGCGGAAATTTTGAATAGTTCGGACAACCGGTAGTAAAAATTCTGACTGGCCCCGCCCCCATCTATTTTCTGCCTCCTAGCTGATTGGGAGGAAATGGGGATTTTGCAATATCCGTCCCCCAGAGTAGGGAGGGAATGGAGATTTTACAGTATCATTCCCCTGCCATGCCCACAAGCTATGCCCACCAAGCCATACCACGCCCACCAAACAACACCCATAGAACCAGTAGTAAAAATTTTTGAAGCCCACCACTGCAATCAAGGATAAGCTTTTCATAACCCAATAAACCACATAACCCCCACAGAATAACAATAGAGTTTCTCAGAATAGGCAGGGATTAATTTTCAGTCCTTTCTTTTATAAATTGGGGTATTCTAAACAGCAAAATGGATGCCTTAATCCAGAGATGGTATTCACTTACCTTCCCTACCGGTTCGTAAATGTGAGCACACGCACCACCTCTGCACATGTGCTGGCCTTCCGCACATGCTCTTTGTCCGCGTGCGCCAGGGGTGGGTTCTACTTACCTTTACTACCGGTTCGCAATGGAATTGCGCCCACGCGCTCACTTCACTCGTGCACATGCCTTGCTTCTGCACATGCGCAGATCGCTTCTGATGATGTTAGGGTCAGTGGGCGAAGCCTCCTGCCAGTTTTACTACTGGTTCTATAGAACCGGTCCAAAGCGGGGGCAACCCACCACTGGCGTGCGCACCTTCCTCACATACACCCAGCCTCAAAAATGTGGCTAAATAGGACAGCATTACATCCAGCCTGGTGGGCTGGGCAAGCCCACCTCCAGTCGTCGCTATCAGTTCTCCCAAACCGGACAGAAACGGCTGAATCCCACCTCTGCCTTAGTCTTGAAGTGACTGTGCCCCTTAAAAACTACCAATTGTCCTCCAATTGCAATTCTTTTATCACCTTGAGTGGAGTTGTACAGAAATAAAACAGCTAATATCGCTCTTGGCCACGTTTAGGATATCCCTTATGCCCTGAGAACTTCCAAGGACCTCAAAACACAAAAAATATTCTAGGGTGGAATTACTTGCCCCTCTCTTCCTTGTGGTATCCTGATGGTATAAACCATAACCTATGCAATCTCTAGGAAAGTATAGGTAGTCCTTGTCTTACAATAATTCATTTATTGACCATTCATTTATTCATTTATTGAAGTTACAACAGCATTGAAAAAGTGACTTACGGCTATTTTTCACACTTATGACGGTTGCAACATCCCTATGGTCACATGATCAAAATTTCAGCTGCTGTTTACTGGCATGTATTTATGATGGTTGTGGTGTCCCGGGATCATGTGGATCCCCTTTGGTGGGCTTCTGACAAGCAAAGTCAATGAGGAATCCAGATTCACTTAATAACCATGTTACTACCAACTGTGGCAAGAAAGGCTGTAAAATGGGGCAAAATTCACTTAGCAACTCTCTTGCTTAACAACAGAAATTTTGAGTTCAATTGTAGTTGTAGGTTGAGAACTATTTGTATTACAAATTCAACTCTATGGGCCAAAAAAACCCAGCTTGCCCTCTATTTCAAGAAAATAGATTCATCAGTTTGGTATCTCCAAAGTGGAACTACCGCTCCAATCTCCCCGTACTAATATGGCTAACAGATCTGGAAAGTATCAGATGGAGAGTTACTTATGGAGACATAGAAGTCTGGGTCAATGTTTGTTTCTGAAGTATAGAAAGCTTGCAGGTTTGACTCATACAATATTACAGGTGATGGTTGTTTCGGCAGGTTGTAAAAATCCGTCAGCATGATAAATAATATATATTTTTATAGCTGACTCCTGTTAATGCAGGTGTGATAAGTGTTTTACAGAATGGAAAGTTTAAGAGAATTCATGGAATCTTTGGAGGGTGTGATGGCTCAGTAGTTAAAGATGCTGAGCTTGTCAGCTGGAAAGCTGACAATCTAGGTTCAAGACCCGAGGGCCACACGATGGAATGAGGTCCTGTTATTTACCTTGTCCTCCTAGCAATTCGAAAGCATGCGAATGCAAGCAGATAAATAGGTACCACTTTGGTGGAAAGGTAACAATGCTCCTTGGGCCTCAGTGTATAGTCATGCTGGTCACATGACCATGGAAATGTCTTCGGACAACGGTGACTTCCTTGGCTAAGAAACAGAGATGTACACTGCCCCCTTGAGTCAGAATCGAATGGATAGAGCAGGGGTGTCAAACTCACGTCGTCAGGGTATCATCATGTGACATATCATGACTTTTTCCCCTTTCGCTAAATCAGTGTGGGTATGGCCAGCACATGACGCCAGCACATGATGCATCCAGCCCGTGGGCCATGAGTTTTACAGCTGTACCATATTGAGGGAGATTGCCTTAGAGCAGGGGTATCAAACTCGTGGCCCGTGGGCCAGATGCGTCATGTGCTGGCCACCCCACCCCCAGTTTAGCGAAGGGGAAAAAGTTGTGATATGTCGTGTGACGACAACATGTCATTGCGAGTTTGACACCCCTGCCTTAAAGCAATGGGCTGCTCTAAGGGGATTTGAGTACATTTCACATGAACGAGTTTCTTCTCTGTAAATTCTGAGCAATGTCTCACATCTGGCTAAGACCTAGGGCTGATGATCTTGGGCAGCTGCCAGATCTTTGTTTTCTCAACAAGCTGTATTTTTATGTGTGCTCCCAAGTTGCATATGTCCAATGATCTCCAGGATGACACAGATCTTTTGGGAAATTCCCCAGAATGTCCTCAATCTAATATTTCTCTAAGCAGTGTGAATTATTTAAAGAGCAGATGGCATCCTTTGATGTTGTGAAGAATGGAAGGCCAGGAAATCTTTTTTAGGCAAATAAAGTAGTTATGGCCATTTTCACTAGAAAACTCGGGGAAAAGATTTTACAAAGCCTACCAATATCGTACTGAAAGTACCCTGTAGTTCTTATAAATAATTGCTCATTTTGTGTGTGTGTCTTGCATTATCACTTGTCTATTTTCTGTGTACAATGAAGGTGCAGTTTTGAGTACAAAAGGCTGATCAGTCAATAGCAAATTTACATTGTGGGTGTTAGCTTGAATTAATCAATAGCGTTTGACTTGATTGACTCATTTGGGGTTGGCTCACCTCTTTTCCATGTGACATTGCAAGAAAGAGAAAAGATACACGCTGGTGCAAAAGTAATCTCTTATTCCCATCACCCCAAGGTTAATCCTACAAACAAAGAGTTATGGCTACTTTATGCCATGGTTTGTTTTTGTTTAAATCTTAGAGTTTATGACATTATATTTTAACTGCTGGAGATGAAAAGAAAGGCTTGTGGGATAACTTATGTGCCAGAACTAACTTGATTGTCCTTGGTAATGATGATCCTTCATTTGGCTGGAGGTCTCATTTGTTGCTATCACACATCAAGAGGGAAAACTGAACTGCTCTGCTAATCTTTAACGTTGAATCCCATCTTGATAGATAATGAGCTTTATCCTGGTCTGCTCAATTTTGACTACATCAAGCTGAGCCAGCCTTATCATATCTAGGAGATCCATAACTTGCTGGCTCTTTCTTATCTGTTGGAGCTGCGAGAAAATGGTAAAACATGTCAAGTAATTGACAGACTCTGACAGGTGCCACGACCTAAAGTTGCTTAACCTGCGTGCAACTGAACAGGCCATCACATGTCCAACAGTTTGCAAACAGCTTCTCCAAAACTGTTCGCATGTTTACTGAACTGACTCCTGGTTAGAAAGATAAGCAGGAATTCTTTTTCAGTGCCCAGTGCATATTAAATCTCAATTAGATCTAGACTTTACTAAACAGCATTTTTTTTTAAAGAAAAAGGGAAATAGAAGTCTAGAAACCTAGAACTAAGAAGAAATTTCCTGACAGTTAGAACAATTAATCAGTGGAACAACTTGCCTCCCGAAGTTGTGAATGTTCCAACACTGGAAGTTTTTAAAAAGAGATTGGACAACCATTTGTCTGAAAGAGTATAGGGTTTCCTGCCTGAGCATAGGGTTGGACTAGAAGACTCCAAGATTCCTTCCAACTCTGTTATTCTATATTCAATATATCATATATAAAGGAATTCAAATTTAGGAGCAAAAAATATCTGAACATTTTCCTTCTTGTCCTTTCCTCCAAGTTGCACTAATTCATTGCAAAGAGCAATATGTAAACAATCTGCCACAATTATTAATTAGTTTGTCTATCTTTAGTTCATGGGAAGCAATGGCTCAGTGGCTAAGACACTGAGCTTGTCGATCAAAAGGTCGGCAGTTCAGCGGTTCGAATCCCTACTGCCGCGTAACAGGGTGAGCTCCCGTTACTTGTCCCAGCTTCTGCCAACCTAACAGTCCAAAAGCATGTAAAAATGCAAGTAGAAAAATAGGGACCACCTTTGGTGGGAAGGTAACCATGTTCCGTGCGCCTTTGGCATTTAGTCATGCCGGCCACATGACCACGGAGACGTCTTCGGACAGCGCTGGCACTTTGGCTTTGAAACGGAGATGAGCACCGCCCCCTAGAGTCGGGAATGACTAGCACATATGCGTAAGGGGAACCTTTATCTTTACCTTTACCTATCTTTAGTTCATGAAGTGTCCACAGCTCTTGATGCCTTAATAAATGGCTAAAATTGGCCTTCAGCCACAGAAAAGAAAGAAGTGTTTTGACAGATAGAACAGAGTCCAAAATCATTAAAAGGAAGATTAGGGGAGACATTATAGCAATGTTCCGATATCTAAGGGGCTGCCACAAAAAGAGGGGGCCAACATATTCACCAAAGCACCTGAAGGCAGGTCAAGAAGCAATGGATGGAAACTAAT